AAAAAAAAAAAAAAAAAAAAAATGATAAAGTTGAATGTCGAACTTGATTGAATGCATCTATTGATTATGTTCGTTTCTTGTTAAGGCAGAGCTTATTATTTCGAGGTCATATAAATCTGAAACGTCTTCTAATCCGGGTAATTTATTTGGAATTTTTTCATTGTCTTGCCGAACATAGCGAACTAATGTTCCTAAAAATTGCCAGTTGATGTCATTTTTTATCCAAAAAGATAATTGTGTCGCTACTGCTGTTGAAAATACTTGTGCGATAGTTAAGGATATTGGAGAGGCATATTTTACAATCTTGGTTGATTAGTCTTGTGATGTGTAAGTGAAAGAGAAGATGACAGTTGTTTTATGATATGTAAATAAAGAGGGAAAGATTTCGAGCACAGCTGCAACTTCACTTAAGGGTGCCACTGATCGTCTATTCTCTCGTCATGGTTTAAGCATATCAAAATTGCGTGTTCAAGGCTACGATGGGACAAGTAATATGCAAGATGAGCTTAAAGGCTTTAAAACTTTTATTCTGCAAGAAAATTTATGTGCATTCTACGTTCATTTTTTTCCTCATCAACTTCCGTTGAGTTTAGTAGTTGTGGAAAAATATCATTTTCAAGTTAAATATCTTCTTGAAATCACATCAAAGGTTATAAATGTTGTGGGAGCATCTTGTAAGAGACAGGATATTCTTAGAGCCAAGCAACATAAAAAAGTTGCAGAAGCTCTAAGAAAAGGTGAAATTGTTAGCGAATGTGGATCGAATCAAGAAAGTATTTGCAAAGAGCAGTTTGATACTTGTTGGGGGTCACATTATGATACTCTAGTTAAGCTTGCTTTCATGTTTCAGTCCGTAACTAAAGTACTTGAAATTATTATGGAGGATGAGGCAAGCACCGATCAAAAAGTTGAAGCACGAATGTTATTAGATGCACTGCATTCATTTTGAGTTTATACATTATGCATTTGATGAAAAATGCTTCGGGAATTACTCATGACTTGTCATTGGCTTTACAAAGAAAAGAGCAGGATATTAGGAATGCTATGAGGTTACTTTTTATATCAAAGCAAAGACTGCAGTCAATGAGAGACGACAGATGGGATGGTCTTTTGATTGAGTTCCTTCATTTTGTTCTATACATGAAGTTGATGTCCAAATGTGGATGAAAAATTCATAGCTCATGGTCATCCAAGATGAAGAAGCCAAGAAAAAACAATCTTGGTTCATTTTTGTTGTGAATTATGTTATGCTATTTTGGATAAACAACTTGTGGAGCTTAATAGTCATTTTTCTGAGGAAAATATAGAGGTACTTCTTTATGTGGGATGCCTAAGTCCTAGGGATTATTGTAAAGCTTTCGATAGGGAAAGGCTGATACGGTTTGCACGGTTTTACCCTAAGGATTATTCTCCGTATAATATTGTGGTGCTTGATGATCAACTTGATAATTATATTATGCATGTGCGTACGAGCAGTGACTTTTCAGTGGTTGATGGAATTTCAAACCTTGCTATTAAAATTGTAGATACTAGAAGGCACGTGACATATCCTTTGGTCTATATGCGTATTATTTTAGCTTTGACATTGTCGGTTGCTACTACTACTGTGTAGAGAGCATTTTTTGCAATGAAGATCATAGGCAACCAAATGAAGAAGATTGGCTCAACGCTTGTTTGGTTTCATAAGTTGGGAAAGATGTTTTTGATAAAATTAATAATAAAACTATTATGCAACAATTTCATACCATGTCATCTCGTGGTGAACAATTGTAATTATAAGGTAACTTCTTTTATGCATTTTTGTTATCTTTCAAATTATGTCACGTTTTTTGCC